CAGCGTTTTAAACATGACAAAGGATAGAAATCACCAACCCATAAGTGAGGGCAGAGAGGAGTACATTCCATGGTTAGGGGACCTGAGAATCAAAGGAACTCCATAGGGGGGTGATGGAGGGCAGTGAGGGAGACACAGAAGGCAGGGGTGGGAGCAGTTCAGAGGACCTTGATTTGCAGAGTGATGAGCACTGGATGTAAGAAGTGAGAGCTCCTTTCCCAGCCTTAGACCTTAGATTGACTTCTCATTACTAGGCTATTGAATTCTTCAGCCGCACCAGCCAAGGGGTGCCAAACATTCATGTTAATTTAGGTAAATCCTAAATCCTTCCAGCAATCTGCTATCAACTTGAGTACAATGACAATTAGCATATCAATTAGATTTCTCTCCTCTCTCTCTCTGCCTCCACTCCACCTCCATGCCACTCCCATCCTAAACCACTTACTACTTTTAAAAGTCAGCCAAGCCTGTAATGTCAGCTACTCCTGGAGGATCACTTGAAGCCAGGAGTTCAAGACCAGCATGGGCAACATAGGAAGACTCTGTCTTTAAAAGAAAAATTTTTTTTTTAATTAACTGGGCCTGGTGGTCCATGCCTGTAGTCCCACTTAGCTATTTTGAGAACTGAGGCAAGGGTGTTGACTGAACTCAGGTGGTTGAGGCTGCAGTTAGCTATGGTTGCACCACTATACTCCAGCCTGGGCAGGAGAGAAAGACACTGTCTCCAAAGAAAAGTCAATAACACTAACACATCTCCTTTTCTTCAGTCTCTGAGAGTTTGCAGCCAGAACTCTACACCAGGGTGGGTTACTATGGGAATAATAACCAGTGAGACAAAAGATGGTTCTTAATTCACTTTACAAATCAGCAGAACAAAAGGGAAGAACCATTGCTTTATTTCCAATAGGCCAAGGTGACCTCCAACTCCAAATAACACAGGTTGCTTTTAATGAATGAAACACATCTAAGAACCAGTATAGCCAGAAAGAATTAGACTCAGACATCCTGGGTCTTAATCCTGGCACTACCACTTGCCAGTCCCAAGTTTCTCAACATCTTTCTGCCTCCGCTTTCTGATCTCAGTAGGCTGGACAATGGGGATCTTTTGAGGAGTCGCTGTGTTAATATAAGTAAAGCAAGTAGAATGTCACCAGCAGCAGGTGGTGAACAACTGTAAGACAGGTTGTGCGTGCTCATGAACAAACAGGAGCCCTGAGGATGACCTGACCAAGGTTTGCTTGTTTTTCTGTTCAATACCAGTTTTATTGAGACATATTTAGCATACTATAAAGCTTACCCGGTTAAGATATATGATTCCCTGGTTTTGGGTATATTTACAGAGAGTTATGTAATCACCAACACTATCTAGCTCTAGAGCATGTTCATCTTCCCCAAAGCAATTCTATACCCATTAGTGGTGACTCCCCATTTCCTCCTGCCCCAGCCCTAGAGAGCTTCTAATCTGCTTTATGTCTCTATGGATTTGAGTTTTCTGGACAGTTTGTTCCATTTCATGGAATCATACAACATGTGGCCTTGTGTGTCTGGAACTGTCTTGAGTTTGAATCTCAGCCCTAGAGTCCTAAAGCTTTATTAGGTTCTTTCACTAAGTTGTCCTGAAGTTTCCCCATCTATGAAGTGGGATTAAAACTATAGCAGATATCCTACAGAGTCATTATGAGGATTAAATGTGCTGATTTACACATCTAAAGTACTCACACCAGGCCTGGTTCAAAATCAATGCCACACTGATACCAGCTACTATTACTGCCACTGCTACTATTATTATTCCTCAGTTCCCCTGTCCCAAAGCATCTGACTGGTAGTGGAAATCCACAGATAAACAGAACAAACAGAGAGAAGAGGTCTTGCCTTACTTAATGCACAGTCTGATGGAGACCGTACGAGTAGGAATCTGGCTTAAATGAATACAGTGAAGTCTCATCATATGCACATTTGACTAATGGAAAGCCAGCTCTTCCACCAAAAAGAGAGAGAAAAAGAACAATGTAAATACTGCAATTAAATGCTATAAAATTATATCTTGCATATATTCTTTATTATGCTGTGTACATTACTGCATGCATTATACATTGTTCCCTATTGATTACAATATGGGGATGCACACACTAAACCATGCCCACTGCACACTTTAATGGGTAACTTAAAAGATTTCAAGGTTAATGACAACTGTGTTTGCCTTAAACCCTGACCTTACAGTCTAACCTCTGAGTTAAATGCAACTCTATTGTGTGTCAACAACAATAGCAATTCAGAATTTTTCCAGACGAATTAAATCAGCCAACAAGTTGTCCACTGAGTTAGGTGTTAGGCTGCAATGGGTGCCAACTCATCAACACCCATTTGCCAAGCATCATTTTTTTTTTTTTTTTTTTTGCCCTCCATGAGCTGTTAGCTTCATTTCAAAAATAAACCACATAGGGGTGTCATAAGGTGTTGGTGAATGGAAGAACTGGGTTTGGGAAGTAGATGGAAATAATCTCTCACCCTCCAGCCAACAGGGAAGGCAAGTGCCATGACCTCTCCCTGTCGCTGTCGACACCCTTGCCTGCTTTCTCATTCTTCCTGGCACTCATCACCCTCCTGCAGACATCACATACCTAGCTGTTCATTTTTTTATTATCTCTCCCCCAGCCACTACATAAGCTCACGAGGGCAGGGGCTTGGCCTGGCCTACTCATTTCTGTATTTCCAGTGCCTAGAAAAGTGTGGAGCAGTCAGTCAGTGCTGAGTAATATTTGTTGATAAATGACTTAATGCATGAATGAGGGTAACTGTTTAGACAGCCTCCACTTTTCTCCCATCTCCTGTCCCTAAAACATCCATAGTTCATTCCTTTGACCTCAACTGGCTTATTTACTCAATGTTGAAAAGTATTGAGAATATATCACATGTCAAAGATGAGGCCCTAAGGTAGCATTCTAGGGCTTTGGCATACTGGTACCATCTAGTGGGAAAGAGAATATCTGCAGGTGGGTGCTTAGCCAAATTCAGAAGGTTTTAAAAACTACCGCTACCATAACTCTTTCTGTTACCCATTAGCTCTACTGAGGAAGTTTCCATTCATGCATAATGGTGGCAAGAGAAATCTCGTATATTCACGCCCTACCCAGGGCACATACGGACAGTCCAACAACTTGCCATACGTTTCCATTTTTCCTGCTATGATGCTTCCCAAGTCATGGCTGCTCCCCGTGACAGCAAAGACTCAGCAGGGAAGCACAGATAAGTTAATGACGGCAGGGGTCACTCCTGCCCAGCAGAAGATAAGGGCAGGTGAATACACCCCCAGCCAACTATTCTGCAGAGGGGTCATTGTGAAATGAGCTTTACACAGTGCTTTTGTAGAGACCCAGCAGCAATGAGTCAGTTTCCCATGACTGTGACCAGCTCAATGACACATTCACTATTGGCTTGCCGGCTTTCCTTCTTCTTGGTCTCACTCTCCCAACTTGCTCACTTATGGGCCTTGAGATCATTTCCCAACTTAGCCCCCTGAACCCAATTCTGTGTCTCTATTTCTTTAGAGGAATTCAATCCAAGAGAGTGTTTAACCCCAAGATACTTTTGGGTAGCAAGAGTGCCTTAAAAATTGTAGTCCAGATAATTATTACAAAGCTAAATTATTCCTATGTTAGAGCTAGTCTGAGAATTATGTTCCATAGTTGAATACCAACATCCTTACCTTGATACAAGTTAATGTGAATAATCTCATGATATGTGACCCTAAAGAAGTACTATGATTTTCATGGCAACTAAGGCCAAAGAGAATGCCTGGTCCTCTGCCCTATCCCCGTCTAAACAAGCTTGACCAGCTGGTAAGGGAGCTACTGGTTTAGATTAGTGGTTGGCAAACAGCAGCCTGAGGGCCAAATCTAGCTCTGCTTGTGTTTGTAAATAACATTTTATTGCCCTGCCCATTCGTTTACATATTGACTGTGGCTGCTTTAATGCTACACTGATAGAATTGAATAGTTGCAAGAGAAACCAGCTAGATATCTCATTACAGAAAAAGGATACCTACCCTGGTTTATATCATTGGTTGCCATGTTTATAAATTCCCAACAGTAAAATTTGAACACAAACAAAAAGTAGAGAGTTGACAAAAGTTGACCAACAACACTTTATCAGTAAGGACAAAAACGCCATCTAGGTATTACTAACTTCATTTCACAAATGGTAGCACATTTCATCTCTACACCATAGAAAGGCCATTCCATCAGAACAAAGAATCCTCTATCCCAAGAGAGGGTGGTGGACAAGCTCAGAACAACTCTGTCTATCACTCTATCCCATTTGAACATTTTTCTACAGCACTATCACTACACAAAACTACCATATTTATTTATTTTTCTTGTTGATTGTCTTTCTCCGCTATGAGAACACAAACTCCAAGGAGGGAAGGCAATCTTGTCTTTCTTAATCACTGCTGCCTCCCCCAATGCTGAGAACTGTGCTTGAGATATTGTCTTCCCTCAGTAAATATTTGTTAAATGAATGAGTTAACCAAATAGGGAATGCACAGATAGGCACGGTCACCGAGTGGCGGGACGGTGCACAGAGTGGTGAGGACCCTGTCAAAGGGGAGAGTGTCTGTCCACCAGAACGGGCTTGGAGGGCAAAGGCCATGCTCTTGCTGCTCTGTGGCCAGTATGGAAAACGGAGCTGGGTACATAATAAGCACTCAATACGTGTTTGCTGAATCAATGGCAACCCTCACTAAAGCACTTAAAAGGAAAAAACACTGGTCTGGTAAGACAAAAATAAACTTCAAGTTAGATTCAATCCAATTGCCACACCGTATAGATCCATGTGTCTCTACATAGCTACAGGCTGTATATTTCTTGTTTTCTTTTTGTTTGGGGAAAACATTACAAAAAGTAACTTGCAGAAAGCACCTACTTAGGCAACAGGGTTTCTTAGCACCCCTAGGGAAGAATGCTATCCAGCTGCAGGACACAGCAGCAGGCAGAATTTACCTGCATGGTTGAAGTTGCAGGTGAGCCATGCCCAGGCATCTGTGGGCCATTCTCACTGGGATGTTCTTGCTGGGGAAACCATGCAGTGCAGGTGGGTTTTTTGGCCCTGGTCAAAAGCAAGGACCCGGAGACAAAGAACACAAACGACCCTGGGCTAACCCAGTTCTGAAGGTTGCAATCAGGAGCCCAGACAGGAAGCCCAGGGCCCAGATCCACTTTGAGAGACCAGGAACTCAAATGAGAGGTCATCCCAGGCAGCTATCTTGACTTTAAGGGAGCTGGAGATCAAAATAGACAAAGGAAATAATTTTTATATAATGAGGGGAGTGGGAAAGGAAACTTTTATATACTAGTGCAACATAGAGGAAAATAAATATGCACAGGAATAAAGATGTATGGGTACAAACCATGGTCCCAGTTCTCAGTGACTGTGTGGCCTTGAGCAAATGACTCCACCACTCAGAACTTCTTCTCATCATATATAAAATTGGGAATAAGAGTCGCCTCTAAAGGTTGCAGGAAGGATTCCAGATAACATGGGTAACTAGTGCATAGCAGCTACAGTAAATTGTGGTTACATGGAGGGACTTTTAAAAAGTACTCATGGCACTGGTGCACGCATTCGTGCGCGCGCGCACACACACACACACACACACACACACTGCCCTAATAGAGCCTCCTGGGAACAGCTGATGGGCACATACATTAAGAAGATGAGATCCCAATTTTTTTAGCAAAGACTTGGAATCAACCCAAATGTCCATCAGTGACAGACTGGATTAAGAAAATGTGGCATATATACACCATGGAATACTATGCAGCCATAAAAAACGATGAGCTCATGTCCTTTGTAGGGACATGGATGCAGCTGGAAACCATCATTCTCAGGAAACTATTGCAAGAACAGAAAACCAAATACCGCATGTTCTCATTCACAGGTGGGAATTGAACAATGAGATCACTTGGACACAGGAAGGGGAACATCACACACCGGGTCCTATTGTGGGGAGGGGGGAGGGGGGAGGGATAGCATTAGGAGATATACCTAATGTAAATGACAAGTTAATGGGTGCAGCACACCGACATGGCACATGTATACATATGTAACAAACCTGTACATTGTGCACATGTACCCTAGAACTTAAAGTATAATAATAAAAAAAAAAGGAAGATGAGATCCCACCAGATCAAATGATTTTATGAGGCATGAATCCCCAGGGGAACAATCTTGGGGGACCTACTAATATGGGAATTGGCAAATCCTCCCTGGGGAGCAAACTTTATTTTTTTTTTAATGTCCATGCATTATAAAATACACAGTCATTTCCCCCCTTAAGTTAGTCACATCCTGAAAGCCAAGGCCCCATGACACCTTTAGACCATAAACTTCCTTGGGGAACAGGTTGAAAAGTAATACAACCAACATTTCTTAAGCATAGGATGGCATCATTAGCATACACTTATTTAATTCTCACAAAAATCCTGCAGGGCAAGCACAGATTTTCCTTTTTAGTTGTTTTAATACAGGGGAAAACAGACAAGGAGGGAAATGAAGTCACTTATCTGAGGCAACACTGTGTGTAAATGGCTGGGTAGGGATTCAAGCTCACTTCCAAAGGGCTAGGAGGTCTCCCTAATGCCCCTAAGCAGTCCAAGGCACCAGCGGCTCTGGGTCCAGGCAGCCCCTGGCTCTAATTCTGCTCCAGCGCGTTTCCTGGTGAGGGCCCAGATTGCCGTGCTCACCTCTGGGTTCCCAGATTTGCAGCATTCTTCATACTTGGTAGGTATTCACATTTAAGGGAAGAAGGAAAAAAAAAGGACGGCAGAAAGAGGGAGGCAAGGCAGATGAAAGGAACCAAAGGAGGGCACAGCAGCCTCTCCTCCCTTTAGTCTATTTCAGCCTCTGCTGTTTCCTATTGTAACAATTACCACATTTGTAATTATTTCAACTACTTACTTGTTTTTAATCTGCTGCTCCCACAAGACTGTAAGCTCCATGAGACACGGATTCGGTTCATCTTGTTTACCTCTGAATTCCCTAAATGCTCAATAAATACTTGCTAAGTGAAGACACGGGCCCCAGGTGGACTCGCCCACACACAGACCCAGGTGCAAATCCCAGCTCGCCACTTGTTATTCTGTGATATTGGGCCAGTTCCTTAAACTCACTAGTTTCTTCATCTGTTAAAAGGGCACAGTAACTATACAGAACTCACCTTCTGAGGATAAAGTACCTAGGAGAGTGCCTGGCATACAGCACTCACTAAATATCTTTGTTGAGGAAAGCAGGAAGAAAAGAAGGGAAAGACAGCAGGAAAACAAGATAGACACGTTCAGAATCAATACTGCCACAGAACGCAATAATCTTTCATACTGCAAAAATATGCAGAACTTCAAGAAGCAGAGGTACACCCTCTGTTTCTCACACATCAAACTTCATTCAGTGGCTGAATCAAACTCACTAAGTATTTTTACAGGGCCCACTTAGACAGCTGTAGAATCCTGGCCAAAGGACCTGTTTCCTTGTAAGTGATAATGATTTAGATAACCTGCATGCATCTTTGCAACAAATTAGACTTCCCTGCATTCTAACATCTTTTTACTCACTTGAACCTCCAAGAAACCTGGTCCGTTTTACAGATGAAAACATTGAAGCTGCTTGCTGAAGATCACACCACGAGTGAGGGGGTGAGCTAGAAACAGGATCCAGGTCTATGGTGTGCTGGAGCCAGTTAGTATCAGGTTGCAAGAGCCCATTGTTAAATTTTTAGGAAACCCTCAGGTTAGTAGATTCAAATTGCCCATGATGGGAGTATTTACACCACAGAAATTGGCAAGAGCTACAAATTACTTGGTTGTATCTTGGTTTGGGTTTTGCTTTTTGGTTTGGGTATTTCTTTAGAGTGGCCCCATTGTTAAACATTTACCAATATACCACTGCCTGGCACCCAATTGAATATTCTCCTACGACACCAAAAACATAAGTCATCAAGGCTACACCCAACATGCTGAAACAGAGGCTCATTAGCATTCACAAAGTGATTGCTGAGGGTAGCAGATCATTATTTGCTTCATGTAAGAATTATTTCCATTGCTGCTGATGGAATGTTCAAGAAACGATTAAAGGGCTTGGCAATGTTTCTCTCAAATATCTTGTGAATGAAAAGTCTCAGAGATTGGTTAATTATAGGGGCTGCACCTCCGTCACTTTATTCAAGGGCATTTCCAGGCCCCCACAGTGGCCATCCCAGATGCAAGCACGGACTGGATCTGCTGGCAATACTGTAATGCAGGTCTTAGGTGCCTCTCCCAGGAACCTTCTGCAGCCTGGATTCCACTCCCATGTAGAGAAGCCCTCAGACCGACCCTGTTTACAATGTCTAACACCTGGTCTCCTTGTTTGACTCTTCCTGCCAATTGGAAGAGTCAGAACTCAAGCTGGCATCCTTTACCTCTCCCCGGCCCTGCCATCTCCATACCCAGCCACCATCAAGGCCTGTCAAGTTATCCGCCTATATGTCTCTTGGATTATCTGAATAGGATTTAGTCCATTCTCGCATTGCTATAAAGAACTGCCTGGGACTGGGTAATTTATAAAGACAAGAGGTTCAATTGGCTTGCAATGCTGCATGCTGTAGAGGAAGTATGGCTGTAAAGGCCTCAGGAAACTTACAACCATGGCAGAAGGGGAAGGAGAAGGAGGCACATCTTCACACAGCAAGCAGGAGAGAGAGGGGGCACAAAGGGGGAAGTGCTATACACTTTCAAACAACTAGGTCTTGTGAGAATTCACTCACTATCACGACAACAGCAAGGGGAAATCCGCCCTCATGATCACCTAATCACCTCCCACTGGGCTTCACCTTCAACATTAGGGATTACAATTTGACATGAGATTTGGCTGGGGACATAGACCCAAACCATATCAGTCTACTTCGCTCATCTGCCCCATCTCTGTACCATCATTCCTGAATCCAGCATCCCATGATCTCAGCCCTAGACCAGACTTTCCTTTCCATTCTTACCCAGCTCCAACCCATTTGCTACCTGTAGCCAGAATGCAAATCTGATCACGTCACTCTGTACCTTTCCCTCATTACCCTCAATGGCTGCCACTTGCTCTGAGAAAAACACCAATATCCTTGCAGTGGTTGACAAGGCCCCATTGACTCTGGCACCTCCCAGCCACACTTCACACCACTGCCTTGGCTGTGTGGTGTTTCCCCTGAATAGAGGCTTCACCCACACTGTGTCTTCTTCCCGGAATGCCTTTCCCCACCCACGCCCTCTATTGTGTCTTTGTCTGGAAGCCCTACTGCTCCTCCAGATTTGGGCTCAAGCATCAGGTTGTCAGGGAAGCTGCCCAGATCCTTCATCTGCCTCTGATGTCTTTCTTGTATTCATTCATTCATTTGTTCATTCATGTTTGCTGAGTATCTACTATGTGCCAGGCACTGTTCTAAGCCCTGGGAGTATAGAAGTGAACAAATCAAGCCACAATGTGTGCCACAATGGAGCTTATAGTCTAGTGGAGGAGAAAGACAAAGAACACCTAGGCAAAACATTTAGGATGGCATGACCTCACACAGCTGGGCTTCCTTCCCTCATCGCGGTTGTCTCCATCTTAAATTATTCATTAATTGCTATTGATCCTTCCTGCCAAGCTGTGAGCCCCGAGAGAGCAGAGACTCAGTCTGCCTTATTAGCAGCTGTATCCTGAACACACAAGTGGTGCTTGGAACATAGTAGGTCCTCCACAGAGATCATAGGTATTTACTGGAGCCATTTGGTCTCAGGTGAATCTCCCTGAATTCAAGTTGCTTGAGTGCTTGGGGCCTGGGAGGAAAAGTCCCTAATGGCTGAACTTCGCAGGCCCCCCCTTATATGAGAAGACTCCCAGAAGCCTCTTTGGCTGTAACTTTAAGTTAGATAAAGAGTCAGGAAACTTTTTCTCTAAGGGACTAAATAGTAAATATTTTCAGCTTCGGGGGCCAGACAGTCTCAACTCTGTTGTTATAGCACAAAGGCAGCCATAAACAATTATATAAATGAATAGGTGTGGCTATCATCCAATAAAACTATTTATAAAACCAGGCTGCAGGCAGA